AACACAAACAGAGGTAGAACAACTAAATAAACCCATAACAAAAGAAGAGATTGAAAAGGTAATTAAAAAACTCCCAACAAAAAAAAAAGCCCTGGCCCAGATGGTTTCACTGGAGAATTCTACCAAACTTTCAGAGAAGAGTTAACACCATTACTACTAAAGGTATTTCAGAGCAGAGAAAACGATGGAATACTCTCAAATTCATTCTATGAAGCCAGCATAACCCTGATACCAAAACCAGGTAAAGACACCACAAAAAAAGAAAATTACAGACCAGTATCCCTCATGAACATTGACGCAAAAATCCTCAACAAAATTCTAGCCAATAGAATTCAGCAACATATCAAAAAAATAATTCACCATGATCAAGTGAGATTTATACCTGGAGCGTCAACTGAGTTTAACCTGGAAGAGAAGAAATCAACAAAAGAGAGAAGTAGAACATTTGAGTACTTCAGAGGAAGAATGGAGGAGTTGCTATATAACCAAAAGTTTAGTCCTAAAAGACTAGGAAGACCTATCCATTTTTGGATTGAAAAAATAATTTTTATACCAAGAGACCTTTCATACTGAAGATACTCAATTTGGGCTATATTTCTATTGCTGTTCTACTTCTGTCCCAGTGCAATATATTTTTATCTTATACAATCAGAAGTCAAAGGTCTCTGAAAATACTAAATGGGGTAAAAATAAAATAATAATAATAAAAGAAAAGCTATGGTGGTTTTTGTAAAGATTAAATGACAGCCAAAAGAGAGACAGAAATGGTACAAATGGATGGGTTTGAAAGCAGCAGAGAACTAATGCTCTAATTCTAAAGCCAGTTGCTTTCGATACACTAGGTAAATAGCAGTAATAAAAAAATGCCACATCCTAAGGCATCTACGAGGAGCCCGGGTGGTGCAGTGGTTAAATTCTTGGCTGTAAACTAAAAAGTTGGTGGATGGCTCCATTAGAAAGATGTGGCAGCCTGCTTCTGTAAACTCTCTATGGGGCAGTTCTACTCTGTTCTATAGGGTCGCTGTGAGTCGGAATCAACTCTCTGGCAATGGGTTTGGTTTTATTACCTGTACTTACCGTTGGATAAAAGCGAAGAAGAGACACAGGCAAAATCTGGGAGAGTTCCCAGCATGGGACTTCCATTGTCCCCAGGGACATGCTGCTCCCTCCCCTGATCCAGGAGGCCCCAAAGAGGGCTCCAAGGTCCAAGGACCCCTAGTCATTGGGACCTCAATGAATATGAATGATCTGGACCTCAATGCATAGTTATGATCGATCCAATCAATGAATATGCATGACTGACTACATCATGCCTCCTCCATTCCTGAAGTTAGTTCACCAGGTGTGGGGCCTGTGTAGTCCCTCCTTGCCCAACAATTCTGGAAAACAAAGTCATCTTGATTGCTTGGGTTATTTTCAGAAACCAGAGTCAAAGGGCCAAACCAAGTTCTTTGTCCTACACCAGGGAACACTACTTTCTTAATGAACAAATATCTGACCATACACCAGGAAGGAGAAAATTCTACATCTTCAATTGTCTATCATTTGGACATCAAGCAGCTTACAAAAACAGATGTTGGTCTTAAAAATGTATTATTTTTAGGCAAGACATTTGGCCAAACTGATTGATAGATTTTTAAAATAACTATGTGCTGTAGATCATAAATGTTACCTTATGTATGTTTATATTTGTTTTCTTTTTTTAAAACAGTACACTTGATTCCCCCACCTTTCATTGGAAAAAAAGGAAAAGGAAGTTACATTCAGTAGATAATGAACATGATTAGCACATTTAAGAAAAAAACAAACAAACCCATTGCCATTAAGTCAATTCCAACTCACAGCAACTCTCTAGAACAGAGTAGAACTGCCCCATAGGACTTCCAAGGATTGGCTGGTGGATTCAAACTACCAACCTTTTGGTTAGCTACTAAGCTCTTAACCACTGTGCCACCAGGGCTCTGAACACTTAAGAGTGAGATCAATATAAATATGGAGAAACAGGAAGAAGGATTAAATCAAATTAACATAGGACACCAATTTGGATTTTTTAAAAAAACCCTTTTTAATTAGATGTTACTCTTAGATGTTACGTAGACACAGTTACTCCCTAAGCTTTGTTTGAGAGGTAAAACCTATTTCAAAATGTTTCTAAACAAAGAAAGGGACACAGTAAATATCTACACCTCACATAGTATACTAAAATCAGCTGCTCCTGGCTTTGAGTGAAAATGTACTTATCTAATTGCTTAGCTTTTAAAGTAATTTTAATTCCACTGAAAGAAGTACTGCTTACATGAACATTCACGTTAGAATTCCTGTGACATCAGGAATAAGTGACTCTGAACAGATGTCTACACTACAGATGAGCATACCCACAATTAACACAATTTCATTATCAATCAACATAAAATTAAATGATAATTTAACAGCCTGGATCCTAAATGTTGTGAATCCAGTTTCACAAAAATATAAATGAAAAGAAGCATCTTCATAACTGTCATCTTTCACAAACTGATGTCTATTTAAGCCTGCATTTTGCTTCAGAAAATATATACGTTATGTCTTCACCTGCCACTGAACCTTGTTTCTAAAATTGCAACTCAGAAAGCAGTGTCTTCCACTTTAGTTCAAAAACCTTTGTTTTGAAAGATCTTGATTAAAAATGGACCTGTCCCTAATTCTCCCCTTTCACATCTCATTCTTTGATGGGCCAGGAAATTAAAGATAATAACATTCTTTGAGGCTTTATATATAGGCTAAAGATCCCTGCTTTGTTTTGGGGGTCTTAACACAGCAACATGATGGTTTTCAGGAAATAAAGCTAGTTCTAAATATTTTAATAGGTATTCTAAGCTGAAATAGTATTTTATATCTAGGAGGCTAAAAAGTCACAATATCACACTTCGAGGCACAATTCAGAAGTTACCTATTCCAAAAATCGTCCTTGCTTCCTGCAGCCCTGACTATCCTTTCTTCCTCCTGAGGATTTTACATTTTATTGATACCTACATCACATTCTGGAAACCTTGGTGGCATAGTGGTTAAGAACTACGGCTGCTAACCAAAAGGTTGGCAGTTTGAATCCACCACGCGCTCCTTGGAAACCGTATGGGGCAGTTCTACTCTGTTCTATAGGGTCGCTATGAGTTGGAATCAATTCAAGGGGAACGGGTTTGGTTTGTAATGAGGTTACTTGTGAAGGTCTCATCTCTTCTGACTGGCAGACTCCTAAAGGGTGAGGACTGTATTTGAAATTAACTTCCACTCATCATGCTCCCTCTTGGCTGGCACACAGTAAACACTGAGCAAAGTATTTACTGAATATAGTCTCTGTCTAGAAGCCTAACATTTCTCTAGCCACTTGGGGCTCCGTTTCCATCTTCCAACAGTAGACCTTTGACGCTTTGTGAGGTTAGAGTTTTCATCTAGCAGTTCACTTTGCTATTTCCCTTACCCACACCAAGCACACCTCTTTACTGAGATTAATGAAATCGTCTGTCTGAAAGCGTATCATCACCTTATGACTCACCCCACCTGGGTTGAGTTCAGCAACTGAATCAATACCTGAATTGACTGTTGTACACCGAGATCTTTAGAACTCTTAGCGACCAAGTCGAGAGAACCTTCCCCCTCCCCTTTTGTTAAACTTCTCACTCAGTGATGTTCCCACGCGCTTACACCCACCTTGGAGAACTCAAGCTGCCAAATTACTTGCTGCGTACCTAGTGGTGATGAAGACGCATCTAGTCTGCTAGCGCTCTAGATCACGGTCACCATGTTAAGTCTAAGAAGAAACCTTTAGGGTGGGACCCCCGCCCCGAGGCATCTCCGACCTATGAGACCTGCCCCAGCCTCACGACTTCTCACACCATTCCTTTTCCCTCTGGTCTTGCAGTCTGCATCCTGCGACAGTCCCGCGCTGTCCTCGACATTTGGGTTAGTTCAAGGACTCGGGGCGGGAGAGGGCACGCTGGAGGCAAAGGCACAGAGGCTGAGGCGAGCTTTAGTGGCTGTGCCTCAGCCCCCCCCCCCCCCAAGAAGCAGCCCGGGCCGAGAGGGGCCCCCGGCACGAGGGCGAGGGGCGCCGGCCTCTTCCCTTGCTCGGGATCGCTGACTGGAGGCGCTGGGGGTGCTCGACAGGGTCAGGGAGCCCAGGATCTCAGCCCTGGGCGGAGAGGGCCCCAGACGCCGGCCGGGGGACCCCCGAGGCGGAGCTCTCCGAGGTGCCGGCCGGCGGGGTAGCCGGTGAGGCTGAAGGAAGGCCCTTCCGGCGGGCCCCGGCCGCACAAGAGAGGCGAGGAGGGTCTGCCCAGATCCACCAGCCCCTCACCTTCATGGCCGCGACCGCCTCGACTCGGTCGGCTCTGCCAGGGAACTCGGCACCATAGCAGCTCCGCGCACCGCCGACCTCCTTCCTTCTGGGCGGCGACCGAGCGTCCGGACGTAAGGGG